TCTACGACGATTCTGTGTTGGATACAGTACTTTGGGACATATTGTATTATTCCCTACTGCATTGTACACAACATCGATATCTCACTTGTATGGGGTCATTCCCTTTTTGTGTGGATGTAGTTTGTCCAACAGACTTGCGTCCGGCATACTTGTGGCAAATCCCGACATCACGATCAAAGTACGATCGTACATGTCGAAAACTTCGTACTTGAATAGTTTCTTTTCGGAACGTAAAAACTCATATTTCGTCATATCCCAACACAGACAACGCCTTATGTGCAGCCTGGGATGATCGATATCCAGGTGCTTGGAATCAACCTTGTTTGCGATTTGATGCCCTGTTCAACGACTATGCAGGCACATCAACGTGCAACAATTGATTTCTTCAGATTTTTACTTATCTCAACTCTGACAATGCCCAACTGGCTCAATATCTCATCTCCTCTTTTGATCTCTACACAATCAAGGATAAAGCAGCCGAAGACGTCTGGTCACTGCCAGTTCTTGCAATGCAAATTTCATTGCAGAACCCTTTCTTGTTCTTTGGTATTGACAAATTTGAGAAAAACCAGCACAACAATCAATTCTTTGTCGGGGATCCTTGCCTTCGTCTGGAAAATCCGTTTGTTGGCTTTTGGTTGATTTGTTCTGAAATGTTTGATTATCCATGGGCAAAAACCTTTGACGACAACTACTATAACAAGCCGCCTTTGCCAATCATCCGTGGTATCAAACAAAAACGTTTGGCACCTTTTCAGTCCTTTTTCTGACCAGAAAGTTCAAATCATCATATTCAACATGCAATTCAGAAGATCAGTGATCCAATGAATGACCATTTGGACAATGCGGTAGGCCCGTCTCATTTGAACAAAACGACTTTAGTGGATCAAAGGAAGGGTCATCGTAATCTGACTGACAATAGATATGATGCACTGGTGGATGATGACGGATCGAGTGGGGAAAATGCTGACAATGCCGAGGCTGTGGACAATGATGCCACTACTATTGACGGTGATGCCTACCAACAACCAAATCAGGACAATGATGACGATGAAATACTAGTGACGGAGGTCCGAAACAATCCAAGACGCCCACCACTTTCTTCAGATGATGATGATAATGAGGATGATGATGCGGTGAGCAATGGGGGGGGGTTCAGACAGAATCTGTAGAAGCACTGGTGAGGTCAGAAGACGACAACATGGCGGTTGACAGCTTGACAAGCCCAACTGAGGTCTCTCAGGACAGCTCTTCATTGATACATATAGCTCCACCTCCACGTTGCCTACCTCCACCGCCCACCCTTGCTGAGAAACTTAACAAATTAATTCAAGTTAACTTGGATGGGATGACATGCAGATGTCATATTTTTGAGACCACATTTGCGACAAATTACTTGGGATCCGACTCCGGCACGGTTGCTGAGGCAATTTTATCTGCGGTGCTGACATCAATGGAGGAAGCTTTGAACAACTCCTTTCACAAGTTGAAGATTCTCCCTATCTCCGATGACACTTATAAACAACAGAATCGGTGGATCCGGAACTTGGTTGAGTTACGCAACAAAATTTTGTCCTACCGGGCCCTGAGTCTTTACTGCGATATGGAATATGGGAATTCTCCTTATGCAGCAACCAACAGCAAGAGAAGAAACTACGTACCCGAATGCAGGTCGGCTTTGCAAGGGACACGTCGGAAGAGGCAGTACAGGACTATCTTCACACTGGTCTCCGTTCCCAGGGTCACGGTGCCTGATGTTACCCTTTGCCGCTTCAATATGGGGACATTGTTAATGTGGGTTGCTTTGCCTTCATTCCACCGGAGGTTAACTTTGAAGCCTATGCGAAAGAAATCATGCGTCACTTTGACTTCTCTATCCCTATTGGAATCAAGATGGATTGGGTTTCTACACCTTACACAGGACGTGCTAAATTCAACAAACGTTCTCCCAGTGTAACAAGTCCTCATGGGTACACTCGCAAGATTCATGCCAAACGAGTGGACCGAGAATTAAGAAGCCTTCTGAATCCATGCACAGCAAAGCCAGACTTCCCCTTTGCTGCTCCGGCTACATTTATTAGTGATTGGAAGTCTGCTCAACAGGGATTGATCAGTGTGAAGGCCTGTGGTCCGGTCAAGGATGCTACCCTCACCCTTATTAGCAAACTACGTGATTACTACATCCTGACAGAGATCCTGTATTCGGTCATGGATCTTCCTGGGATGTTCAAATTCGCAACGACTACTATGTTTGGCTCATGCACCTTGTTTAAGCTTCTCTTGTCGATCAAGGCAACCCCAGCTCAAGCCGACAAAGCTTCTCATGCCCCCCAATCAACAACTGAGGCTGATGACTCAGACAATGACTCTTCTGACGAAGATCCCAATGAATCCTCTGGCTCTAAAGGCGGTCAATTCACAGAAGTTTGGTCTAAGAAGGCGGCAACAAAGGCAAAGAAGAAGAAGAAGTTGATCACTGATAATGAGAATCTGTTCCTTAACGATCTCTCCCCAGCCCAATGGAAAATGGCTGAAGTTGCTGACCATAAGCTGAAGAATGATCAGGTGCTTCACAAGTCCGGTCCGCTGTTCTTGATGGTTCTACCAGGCGAGATGGAGGGCACCTACATCCTGGTGTGTCGCAAGAAGTTTGGACAATTGGCTTGTAACGTCTTGAGGGGCTTGGTCCCTTTCTGACTCATCACCTGTATGAGCCAACTCTGACAAAAACCGACCAAGTCCTCCGTAAATGGGTTCCGCAATCAGAGATCAGTATGGCTCGACGTAAGAACCTCAAATGGTGCACAAACACTCTCCGTGCAGTGGAGGCTACCGCATCGCCAGACGCAGTGGAAGAAGCACTGGAGTTTCTGGACAATGTGATGGAAGACGCAACGGATGTCTAAGATGGTCAACTTTCCATTGATTTGGATATGGCTAACAACAAAGACATTGATGATGGGAAGACCGTGACGGGAATGATGGACAAGATGCAGGAACGGGAGCAACAACTGGAAGATGCCTTCAATGAGATTGAGATTTGGGACAATGCACTGGAGGCTCAGGAACGCGCCTTGGCACAACAACGTGCTGACAATGCGGCACTGCAAGCACAGCTCGCTGCCCTCCAGAGTCAGGCCAGCCATCTACCTACCATGATGATTCAGCCATCTCCCACTCTACCCCACAACAATCGCGTGTCTCCTGACCGTCAAGCATTGACTCCACCGGTCAGATCTAGCGACAAAACCTAAGGCAAGTCATCCACCGGGCAGAGCACCATGGTTCCCAACACAGTGACACAACCAAAGAAGGCCACCAAGCAGGGCAAGCCACCAAAACAACCAGCCAAGAAGGCCTGCACAAGTGCAGGTGTCCAATTTCAGGAACCATCTTCTGCCCAACCCTCGGCAGCCTCGGCTGTTCAAGTAGACACGTCCCACATGGAAGGGGACAACACTACTGCCGCGTCTCAAGATGAGAGCCAAACCTCATCTCCTACTGTGTCTACTCCGCGAGGTGGAGGGTCTCCATTCTTCTCTCCTCCTCCTGGGAAGGCGCCAGTGATGGCGCCAGTAAATCCTCTCGGTCCGCCCGCGGAGCGGGCCATGAGAGGCCCATGATCGTCTGCAGCTAGGTCACGGCGTGCAGGCAGAAGATCCCGTATTAGTGGCCCGTCAAGTGGAGTCTCCCATGCTTCACTTGACAAATATTTACGTTCTCTTCCAGCAGGGGATTGGTCTGGCGATGATCACCGCCGTCATTCCTCACTGGCTACTCAAATCGGTTTCCAGAATGTCAACGGATTACCAGAAAATGGCAATGACTCCAAGCAGCAACAGATCAACTCCTGGCTGAAGGAAGAATGAGTGGGAATTGCGTTGTTGGCAGAGGCCAAGACGTTTTGGCCTTCTATCAATGAAGGTCACGGTTGAAGTGACAGACTCTGCCAAGCTACGATGAAGTCCGAGCAAAAAGGGTTTTACTTGTCGGTAGCTTACAATCGGCATCAGGACAGATCTGCTGCCACCTCGGCGGTACAATGGGGCGGGTGCATCACAACCGTTTTGAACCAAGTGGCGCACAGGGCTAAGGAAGCTGGCAGAGACCGATGGGTTTAGGATGATGGGCCTATGTTTGTCTCCAAGGAAGGAAGTTGAAAGCCCATGGGGGTAATGTTCAGGACTCTTTGGTTGAGGTAAATGATTTAGTTTGTGGTCCAATCTCCAAGGACTTGGTGGTGGTCTCCGCGTATTGTCCCAACAAGTAAGGCCTTGGTGGATCTACAGTATGGGCACAACACAGGCTTCACTTTCATGCAGTGAATCAAAAAGTAAATCAAAGAAAGTTTTTGTGGACAATCTTTGCAAACAGATCACCAAATGGCATGATGAAGGATGTGAGGTGGTTTTGGGTATAGATGCAAACGAGGATGTCACTGTTAACGCACCCCAGTCTATCCACCACCGCTTCCGGGCCTACGGTCTTGAGGAGGCGATCCTAAAACACCATCCACCACAAGCGACCCACCAGCGCAACCAACAGAACATTCCAATTGATGGTATCTTCACCACTTTGGGCGTACCAATCCTTGCGGGTGGGTACTACGCCTTTGACGAATTCTTTGATTGCGATCATCGCGGCTTGTGGATTGACATTGATCTTTCCGCCTCCTTGGGCAACTTCCAACCTCAGAAATCCAACTTCAAGCCACGGAAGTTGTCCCTCCAAGACTCTCGATCTGTACGCAAATATCTTCAATTGGTTCACAAAGGTTATGCCAAGTACTCCATCCCAGAGAGATTGAATAAGCTGAATAAGCGTATTGACCACCTGGGACACCAGATGACTCCTTCCTTGGTGCGCAAATACAACTGTTTACACAGAATACTGTGAGGCGTCAGGCGGAAGAGAGGTGCCGGGCCTTAGCTCCAGGTAAAGTTCCCTGGTCACCAAAAATGCAGGGATTCTGGGATTGTATGAGCCTGTGGAAGCTTCTGTTGAAAGGCAAGAAGGGTTGCCATGTGAGTTCGTGCAGAGTTCGCCGGTTGATGAAGAAGAAGTTGCCACAAGCTTGGAGGAAGTCAGCGGTTGATCTGGAGGACTGCCTGAAGCAAGAGCGCTCCTTGTACAAGCAGGCCAAGCACACCTACGCAGCTCAATGGAGGAAAGACTTCTTGACAGTCCAAACCAAGGACGCAAAGAAGCATCAGTGGAAGTCTCGGAAGGCCCGTGATAGATTTTTTCGGTTACAACAAATGAAGCAAAGAGAGGAGGCGAGACACCGTTGTTGCGCCCAGAGCAAAGGATCTACAGGGGACCTTCAGGCTATTCAAATTGAAGAACACTTATCAGATGGTACTACGAGTCTCCGGACCATCACTGACCGCCGCCTGGTAGAAGATGGGTGCATGCAAGAAACACGGCACGCTATGATCAAACACGAGCGCCGTATACCACTCCACCTATGGCCAAACCGTTATATAGCAAATTTACCGGTGACAACGCTGAAATTTGTTAGAAGGCCATTATACATTACCTGATCTGTAGGACCCAGCTATGGCTTCTTTCTTATCTCACTGCCGGTTTCACAAAGGGCACTCTCCAGTCCACTTGCAAGTCTCCAAGGATGATCACGTGTACTTCTGGCCGCGTAACCCTGAGAATAAAGGATCCAAACCTCATGGACTACATAATGGACACTTTAAGGCGGCTATCCAGTCTCCATCTATAGCGTACTGTGATGCCCTCTTCCGGAACATTCCTCTCACCACAGGGTTTGTTCCTCTTCAATGGCAAAACCTGATGAACTTTGCCATTAAAAAGAAGCCGGGAGACTTCCGCCTATCTAAAATGCGCACCATCCAGCTGATGAATTCCGAGGCCCAGGCAAACAATAAGAAGGCGGGCCGTGCAGCCATGCAATTTGCCGAAGCGCACTCCTTGATACCCGACGGGCAATGCGGCTCATGCAAACGTCATCAAGCAATTGACCTGGCCTTGTCTAAACAATTAGTGTGGGATCTACTGATCCTTCAACGCCGCGCAGCGGGGTGGATCTCGAATGATGCCAAGTCCTGCTTTGACTGGGTGGCCATCGTCACAATGTTGCTGTTTGGCTTGACATGGCATGTCCTATCATCGATGTTCAACATGCTCTCCTTCGCTACCCGCCGTATTTGCACAGGTTTTGGTGACTCCAAGAGAAGCTTTTGCCCTCCGTCAGCGGTGCCATTCCAAGGTTGTGGGCAAGGGAATGGTGCCGCCCCCCATTTGGATCTCGGTGAGCTCAGTGTTAATCACAATGATGGAAGCAATGGGCTATGGATTTGAGTGTCTTTTGGCGTTAGAGTCACAACTAGTGACAGCCCAATGTTTCTGTTTTGTTGACGATACGGACGTGATTGAAGCAGGTGACACAGTCCATCACTCTGGGGAGGATATTTGCGCCTCAGTCCAGGCTGCTGCCACCTTGTGGTTGGGGGGAATTCGGGCAACAGGTGGTGCAATCAATCCGGAGAAGTCCTTCTGGTGGCTTATTGACTTTGAATGGGATGCTCGCAATGGTCAGTGGAGATTCTGTAGGAAATGCTCCGCGGCACCGGAATTCGACCTTAAGATACCGGGGTTATACAGTGACATTGAACCCCTTCGTCGCCTTGAACCAGATGATTCCGAACGTACTCTGGGGGTGATGTTGTCGCCACTGGAAAATCACAACGCACAAGAGGCACAGTTGGTCTCTAAAGGTAAAGAGTGGGCCGAACAGCTTTGGCCTCACCTGCTACACAAGTACAACGTGTTACCCTTAATCCGGACCACAATCCTGAAGAAGCTTGAATATCCTATGGCACTCACTACCCTCAACGCTCAACAATGGCAGGATATTATGTCACCGGTTCTCCAGGTGTGCTTACCTAAGTCAGGTGTTTGACGCAACTTTCCCCGTTTGGTGGTCTTTGCCCTGGTGGATTATCAAGGCCTTGGTGTTCCTCACCTCTTTGGCAAGCAAGTGTACAAACACTTGGAGATGATCCTGCGCCATATGTTGGGGGGTACAAAGCCTGGAGCCTACATGGACGCCAATCTCCAGGCTCACCAACTGGAAACCGGTACCTCCTTTGGTCTTCTACAGCAAGATTACCAGAATACATCCATTCTTGCTTCTGATACCTGGCTTAAAAGGGTATGGAAGGAGCTTGAATCTCTGGATATGTATGTGGCCTTTGACTCTCCGGCCCTATCTTTAAGGTGGCATCATGACGCCCTCCTGATTGACTTGTTCATTGATCTTGAGGTTGATCAGGACGACCTTCTCTGGCTTAACTGGTGCCGGATGTTCCTGCAAGTAGCCACAGTATCAGATATCACTACGGCTGATGGCCGCTATATCCGGCAATGCATCTGGAACGGTTTCCGCGACGACACTTATCGGACTCCATATAACTGGCCTCGAACGGTACGACCCGGGCGTCCATATTGGGAACTCTGGCAAAGAACACTGTCCCGCGCGCTCTTGCCTTCACACGGTCAGCACCACCCTCTGCTCCAACCCCTGGGGCATTGGCACGACAACTTTGAGTCTTGGAACTGGCTCTGGTCGCCGACTGTTGGTTTGTTTCATCGGGAGGGGGCTGCATGGACCCATCTTGCTCTTGCAGGTTCCTCTACAATTTCTCGGCGCTATGCTCCATCTGGCAGTCACAGTGGGACGGATAGCCTACAATGACCAAGTTCTTGGTGGACTTTCCCTTTGCCTTCTGATGTCCTGCGTGCCACAGTGAGGCCCCTCTCCGGTAGCGACTGGGTGCTCCTCACTGGTACAGGTCTCCCAACCTTGCCTCCCTCTGACCCGACCCCCTCCATCTCAACGCCTGGCAAACCTCTGCTGGCCTCTGCACAGACTACTATGGGTGGGTCCCTGATGAGATTGAGGTACATGGTGATGAGACTGCCTTGGCCGATGCCCTGATCCAGGGCCGCCTCAGAATCCTCAGCAACGGGTCATACAAAAATGACCTGGGAACTGCTGCTGTTCAGCTCCTTCCCTAAGGGGGAACTGCTCACATTGTCATCCATTGTCAAACTCCAGGCCTACCTCAGGATCAGAGTGCCTATCGTAGCGAGTTGATTGGCCTTCTGGCTGGGATTATGGCGGTTGACTGGCTCCTCCAACAATGGTTCCCAGCCCTAAGCCAGCGGTCGGGTGTCAAGATCGCCTGCAACGGCCTTTCGGCCATTGAAATGGCCTTTGAAGATTGACCCCTTTCACCCACTGATGCACAATTTGACCTGATCTCTTCCATCCGGGAAGCTATCTCTCGGTCTCCGGTGTCTTGGTCTCCAAGGCATGTCTACGGACATCTGGACAAGTCCAACTTATTTGATGAACTCACTTGGTGGGAAAAGAAAAACCTGGAGGTAGATGGCATGGCAGTGAATTTCTGCAAGTCAGGGCGGCACTTCCAAAGGCTGGTATCTGCCGCAACTTTCCTCGTGCTATGGTCTATGCCCCTATTGCTCTCCAAGGAGTGGGTGTCCCTCATCCGTACGGTCTCCAAGTCATCAAGCACTTGGATATGCTACTTCGCCATCCTGCCAATAAGACCAAGATGGGCGCCTTCTTGGAGGCTGTCCTTCAGGCACATCAGCTTGAAACCGGTACCTCATACGGCCTCTTCCAACAAGTCTATGCCAACACCTCCATCCTGGCGTCTGACATGTGGGCAAAGCGGACCTGGAGTGAACTTGACTCTCTCTCCATCCACCTGGAGTTTGATTCCCCCTCTCTTCTGCCACTACGCCAAGGAGACCAACTGTTAGTCGACTTGTTCATCGATTCTTTGGTGGACCAACTTACTTTGAAATGGCTCAACTGGTGTCCGATCTTCCTGCACGCAGTGACTCTTTCTGATATTGTGAATGCTGAAGGGACGGCGATTACTCTGAAAGCATGGAAAGGGCTAAGAGCGGACAGCTGTTCTGATCGGTACCAATGGCACCGCACTGCTCGTCCCTCTAACCAATGGTGGACTGCATGGCAACAATGGATCTCTACTCACCTGACCGGCCACTCCAACCAACGCGGTCTCAGTTCTCCGTTAGGCCCGTGGCATTCCGTTGACTTATCCTGGAAGTGGCAATACTCCCAAATGAAGGCTACCGTGCTATTGCACACCCATGCAATGGTTTGTGTCCGTAAGTGAACGGGATCGGCCTTCGCGGAAGCCTGTTGATGAAACGACGATAGCACACTCTTTTTAACAATACAATTCGATCTACGTTACTATCTTCAACATCTACTACTTCGTAAGTCAACACCCTTGTAATAACATAACGATTACATTTATATGATTTATCAGATCCAGCAATAACTGCCAAAAGTTATCCGACGAACGAAACGAAAATGAATACGTTTGAAATGTATTGTATTGAAATGTATTGTATTGAAATGTATTGTATTGAAATGTATCAAAATGCAATGCCATCAAACGTTATGAACGTAATAATGAGCATGATCGTAAATACGAAATGACATCAAATGTTGTGAACATTATGATGAACAGTGCTGAGCAACACCAACGAAAACTGTCACAAATGATGGTGCTGAGCAACACCAACGAAAACTGCCACGAATAGTGCTGAGCAACACCAACAAAAACTGCCACGAATGGTGCTGAGCAACACCAATGAAAACTGCCACAAATCGTGCTGAACAACACCAACAAAAACTGTTACAAATCGTGCTGAACAACACCAATGAAAACTGTTACGAATAAAAGAAAAGAACACATGGAACAAGCATTGAGGATATTTGCTTTCTTGGACACCTTCCCAAAATTGACCTTTTACTAGGACTGGAGGACGCCAAATGTAGACTATTCCAAGTTGAGGTCCTCGAGGGAAGATTTCGAGGCATACTACCAAGATGCGACGGAAGAGATGCCACACAACACACCCAAACCAAGGGGACGAAGTGTAGGGAGTACTGCCTGGGTAGATGCTTCACATGGCGCCAATAAGAAGACACGGAAATCACATATGGGGTACGTCATTTTCCTCAATCGGGCACCTATCTTATGGCACAGCAAGCGACAGAATACGGTAGAAGCGAGTACTTTTGGTTCCGAATTCATTGCTTTGAAGTCATGCATTGAGGCGATCACTCATTTGAGATTCAAATTGAGGATGTTCGGAATACCTTTGGAAGAAGGACCATCGCATGTATTTTGCGACAACAAGAGCTTGGTGACGAATTCAACAATGGTCGAATCCACTTTAAACAAGAAGCATAATTCGATTGCTTATCATTATACCAGGTGGAATGTGGCTGCAGGAGTCGTTGACGTATTGTGGATTGCAGGAATGTTGAACCTCGCTGATGCCTTCACAAAGCGATTGACACTAGAAAGGAGAGGGCGACTATTTGGGGAATGGACGTACTAGACAAGTTATCGAACTGGGTCCCAAACTTGGAACCCAATTGGAGGGGACCAAATGAAGGCTACCGTGCCGCATGCAATGGTTTGTGTCCGTAAGTGAACGGGATCGGCCTTCGCGGAAGCCTGTCGATGAAACGACAATAGCACACTCTTTTTAACAATACGATTCAATCTACGTTACTATCTTCAACATCTACTACTTCGTAAGTCAACACCCTCGTGATAACATAAGGTGCCCCCCCTCTACCAATACCCTGTTCCACCGTGAGGGTCAACTATGGATCCCTTCCGTTCCTCTTGCCTCCACCAGCCGTCAGCGCACCTTCCACTTGCCTCGCTGCTTCAACCCTGATCTTCCACCTCTACCAGTGGACGCTGTCCGCGCCTCGGTCTCTGTCTTCCCTAGCCATTCTCCGATCCACAAGAGCCGGGTCCTCCTCCACTCTACGGGCCCTCACCTACCAGCCAAACCATCTGCCCCCATCTTCCATCCTTGACCTCTGGCATCACTTCGGCAGTCTGGCTGAATCAGGTTCTCACGGCTGGGTTCCAGAGGTCATTACCATTGAAGGTAGTGAGGATCGCCTGGTTCAGGCCCTTTGTGCTGGTACCCTTCGTGCTGCAAGCGACCGCTCTTACAAAGCTAAAGTGGGCACAGCCTGCGCCCAAATTCTCACTGAGGACCGCAGGGATATCACTCATCAACATCAACTCCATCTATGGCTATCTCGTAATTTTTGACCTCTTGAGTAGCTTTACGATACTTGGTTGCTGGGACCAGAGCCAACTTGTCTGATTTGGTCTCTTCACTTGTTGCAGAAGTCAGAGTATCTGCATCTTCACTCCTCCCCATGCTTGAGTGCTGGAACTGTGAGAGAAAATCGGTAGTAGTCGACATCTCATGTAAGTTGACAGGATGTTGATCATCTGGATCACCTGCTAAACCCCTGGGAAATTTGACAACCAGAGTTCCACGTGCAGCGAATTGATTGGCCTTATGGCCTCTCTCCTGGTGTTGGACTGGCCGTCTCTGGTCGCCCACCTGAAACTCTTTGCCAGCCAACCGTCAATTGAGATGGCCTGCGACGGGCTCATAGCTCTTGATAAGTCCTTCTCCGAATTCCACCTGTCATTGTCTGGTGCCCAATTTGATCTGGCCTCAACCATCCGGGCCTTGCTTTGCCACCTTCCCCTCCAAGTTCATCGGCGCCATGTTAAAGGCCACCTGGACAAGCACCGGCCTTTCTCCCAACTGGACTGGTGGGAGCAGCGCAATGTGGAAGTAGACTCCAAAGCACAATCCTACCGCCGCCTGCTGGAGTCTACGGGCCGCTTGGCTGCCTCCAACCCCCGCTTCTTCCACGAACCTGTGTCTTTATTCATCGACGGTGTTAAGTCTTCCAAACTGGATCAGGCTCACATCATGGAGCAGGTCTCTCTTCCTGCCCTTCGAGCATATTGGTCCTCCAAGGACCGCCTCTCCAAGCAGTCCATCCGTGAGGTCGATTGGTTATCTCTTGCACGCGCCATGAAGGCCCTCCCGGCAAATCTCCAACGCTGGACACCCAAACATATCTCCGGTATGACAGGTGTGGGAAAATGCTTGGCCATTTGGAACCGTTCGGCGAAGAGCTCCTGCCCCAGATGCTCCTCCTGCCCCGTGGAAGATCATCTCCATGTCCCACACTGTTCTGCTCCTACTGCAGCTGCAGAATGGTCAAAACGCCATCTGGCCTTCTGGACATGGATGCAGACTCAGCAGACTGCCCCAGAGATCGAAGCCTTCCTCTTTGAATACCTGAAGACAGTCCGTCAGCCTTCCTTGGGCGTCCCCACCGTCCGAGCCTGGTCCTGCCATCCCCACCTCTTCCAAAGGGCCATCTCTTCCCAAGCCACGCTTGGGGCCCAGGGCCTCCTTGAAGGCCTAGTGTCCCCCAACTGGAGACACCTGCAGGCCCTTCACTTCTCCTACATTGGCTCCAAGAAGTCCGTCAACCTTTGGGCCTCCCGCCTGATCCAACAACTGATCCGGATGGGGCACTACATGTGGAAAGACCGCAACCGGCTTGCCCACTCTGAAGACAGCTCCTGGTACACAGCTCGCAAGCGGGAGATTGACATCGGCATCCGCGAACAGTTCGCCATGGGCCTGATGGATACCCCCCCACACTCGCAGTACCTCTTTCGGGACTAAAGCGAAACTGTCCTCAACAAATCACTCAAAGATCGTCAACATTGGCTGCGCCTTGTCTCCCGTGAGAGAGCGATCAACCGTCACTCTCTAGCCAGGCAACGCCAGATGATCTTTGACTTGGCGCGACCCGCCAACCCAACATCGACTCGGCCACCCGGCGTTAGTCCATAAACAGTCAGATGTCTCGGCCATCTCTCTGTCCCTCTATGTTTCACTCTCCCTCTGTTGACCACAGGACTAGGGAACTGCAGTCTGTCACGTAGATGGTCGCCACCTTGTTCTGGAACACTGTGCCATTGGGACACTCTCCATTCACTTGGATTGATACGCCCAGGGCATTAGGGCGCAAGAACAATTGGCTTCCCACCTGCTACACAATCAGGCCCACCATCACCTTCAAAAAAACCAAAAACCAAAATACAAATACGCCACCCCGAGTGGCAAGATCATTTCTACATATGCAAGGGTGCAATGTAATATCCGATGAGAGCAACTTCCCTGGGATTGGATGCCTCAAACTGGTTCAACAGGACTGGACTCACCTCCATATGGTAAATGGCCATGACAGCCGTTAACGGCAATCTAGAAACTAGAGATAGTTTCAATACGATTAATGCATCAGTTATATATAAACTGGCAGCTCTTTTTGCGGCTGACACAAAGCAGTCTCGGCTGAGTGACCACTTCATTCAGGAGTGCGTGACACTCCCCCGCCTGTGGCAACACTGGAGGAACCGTAATGTGATCTCTGAGGAGTCTGAGAACTGGGAGACACTGGGTCGCGCTATGCGGTCACTACCTGCCGGAATCCAGCGCTGGATTACAAAACATTGGGTGGGCATGTGCGGCACAGGGAAGTTCAAAGTGTATTGGGGCCTTGAATTGTCCGCTGTGTGCCCTCGGTGCAGTGAGTTTGAAGATCACTTGCATGTTCCCGTTGCCCAGCAGCCTCGTCTAGGAACAAATGGGACCAGAGGGTGACCGCGCTCTCGCTCTGGATGGATATACATCTTACCTCCCCTGCCATCAAACATGCGATACTCCTTCTGCTTCAGGGTGTTCGCGACTCATCATGTCCCCCCTCTCGTTTGATCTCTCGGACCATTTGCCTGGCCTTTCTGGCACAGGAAGCTATTGGGTGTCAGGGACTTTTGGAAGGCAAGCTAGCCTCCTTGTGGCTGTCTCTACAACAAAATTATGTTGACAAGATTCACAGTCGTTGGTCGGTTTCTCTGTGGGCCTCCCGTCTCTCCCAGCAACTCATCTCCATTGGGTTCTATATGTGGGAACAACGGAACGCCGTTCAACATATGATAATAATAATAATAACTGAAACATTAATCGATTAAATGCTAGGTAGCGCATACGATTGCCGGTGGGATGTTCGGCTGTAAAGGTCAAGTACTGTGGAGCGGCGAGTCAACAACAAGTTTGAACCATG